TTCTCTTTTGACAAGATGTTCTTGAGTTTGGATTGCAGACAGAGATCTCCGCTAAGAAGGGAAACAAATACAAAGTTATAATTAATCTCAAAAAAGGTCATTTCTTTCCTAGCCATTTGCGAATAACTTCAACTTTTCCTTATTTGTGACTTGTACTGGATTAGATCTTACAGATCTTGAATATTAACTCTTTAAAAAAGAGTTAGGTATTAGAAGCAGTAGACATTGAGATGGAATATGTACAAATAAAAAGAAACACACACATATACATTTTAAAGGATATATATATGTATATATATATATGTACATAACAGTAGGTAAATACTAAACCTTGAATAACTTATCTTCTGTTTATGCCTGCAAATCCACTTGCCACTGTTTTACCCCTTTCCATCCTGCTCTCTGCTTCAGGAGCCTGACTTGAATGAACCATCATAGTCCCAATGCCCTCTAGTCAATGAGTAGATATGTAAGAATGTGGTAGGTAAAGAGAAAATTGAATTTGGTGCATTTATGCCCTGACAAGGTCATCTTCAGCTGATTATGTCCCTTGACCAAGTCACTGATCCTCTCTAGCCTGTTAACTCATTATGGCATTGTTTACTTTCCAGTTCTGAATATTGCTCCCTGATCCCTTAAGGAATGGTAACAGCTCTAATGCAACAGGCCCTAGTTTATCACACCAGCCCTTGTGGCTGTTCTGTACTTATATTCTGTAAATATTCTTCTGTCAATAAGCCCTCCCAGAATGATCTTGTTTGAGAATTTCATCAATTTTCTATTTATTGTGATTCTGACTGATTCTGTTTTTATGTTAAAGGTATCTTTGAGAATCCTTAATTTAAAAAAAAAGAATGAGGTGTGTGAAGACTTGAGCATTAGTTTATAAACAACTCTACCTAAAAACTATATATGTAAGCAACTGAGGAAGAGGATGGTAAAAGTTGTGTTAGAATGAGATAGTAGTGGGAATGAGAAAATGAGATGTTGGTTTGATCTATGATGTGGAGACAAAGCAAGGAGATGTGAATTTTAATGGAATATAAACACCAAGTCACAAGGCTGAGGCTGGTGGTGTTTTTTATATGCTCCAGAGATACTTGATCTGTGATATTGTGATCATCTGGGGGCAATTATTAACAGAAAAATATAGACCAGCTGAAAGGAGTTTGTGGATAAGTAATGAAATGATTAAACAAAAAACAAAAAGAAAAGAATAAAAAGCATGAGAATTCACATGTGAGAAAAGATTTAAAAGATAAAATCACTTTGCTTCAGCTAAGTGGTGACTAAGGGGGAGCGTATCAGCTGTCTACAATTATGTGATAGTTGTAAACTCCAAAATAAAGGCAGCGATTACTACAACTCCACCATGTAGTGCTTTGTGTAAAAAGACAAAAAAAAAAAAAGGAAAGTTCAGATCAAATAAAAGGACCATTTTCTAATATAGATCTATTTTATATCTTCTAGACGTGTTACTTATATTCTTTGAAAAAGAAAACAAAGAAACAAATTAAAAATCATTTTAAAATATTACACATGGCGTCTATAGTGTATTTATCTCCCTATCATCTATCTATTGATGTATCTTAGAAATCAGCCTTTTATAAACATGCGTAGGAATAAAAATAATGATTGCAACTTTAGGATAGGCTTTGTGCTAGACATTTAACAAGCATCTTATTTAATTGCTAACATTGCATTCTTATAACTAAGGAAACTGAGGGTTGGGAAATTTCAACATTCCAAAGATTGTCCAAGTAATAGAGCCAGGACAGGGACCCATGTGTCTTCAACCCCATACATCAGCACATAATTGCTGGATAGTTAAATCAGTTTAGTACATTATTACGTATGTAATTTTCCATTGTTTTGTTGTTCACAGAACTGTTTGAATTGTATTACTAATTCTATGTAGTACTTTGTTACTAATTTCCTTGACCACATAATATAATATTTTAGGTACCTTGAAATATGGTTACTAATAGCCATCAAGTTTGCAAGGGAACACCATTTCCCAAGCTATTTTCTATTCCTGAATGATCTTTGTGATTGCTAACCATTCTAGCTAAATGGGTAAGATAAAGCCTAAATAATTTTATTTCCTTATCCTCCTAGACACTACTCATTTTCAATTTTGAAAAATAATTTCTCTATCAATGACTTTTGCTTTTGAAATTGTCCAATATCTTACAACATATTTATAAAGTTGTCACTTAAATGAAATTATGCTGCTTGACTGTCTTTTCTTTTCAAATAAAAATTAAACATCTCCACCACTTTTTGTACTTTTCAATTTAATTTAATTTAATTTAGAAATATTTTAAAAGGAAAACATGCTTATGTCTAACATTTCAAATAGTACAGAAGACTCTAAAGTAAAATTAATAAGAGCCTCTTCTCCCTGACAACTTCATCCTCTGTTGTAGGGGGTAAGCACTGCTAGTACCTGTACCTTTCTCTGTACCTTTACAGGAATTTTCTACACACAAAGTATCTGCAGATCTTTTTTCTCTTAGCCATTTTTCTTGGTTATCTTTCCATATAAGACATAAAGTGCTACTTTATCCTTTTGAATGACTGTAAAACAAGTCTATTATATAGGTGTAACATTATTTATCCAGTTTCTTGTGATGGATATTGAGGTAGTTTCTACATTTTCTAGATTTTTGCTGCAGGGAGTGTGTGCTTACTACAGAGACAGAGACAGAGGAAAAAAAAGGAAAGTGAGAAATCACCCCTCCTCCACCAGGAAGATGACTGAGTTGCAGTCTTTTCTTCTCCATTCTCCTTTGTGATTTTGGGCACACATGCAGCTGGCTTGTTTTTCAAGCTGCTGGATACAGGCCTCAAATCTCAGAGTCAACCATGTGGCATCCAGTTCCTTTATTACATCACCTGCTGACTCTCTAGAGATTTTTAAATAAACTATTCTGTTATGAATTATTTATCTACAAATTGTTATGAATTGTTTATCTACATTTAACTCTGGATACTTTCCCATATTGATATGGCTTTTCTAGCTTAAATCACGTACGTGTTTGTTGACAGTGTTTATAGGTTTTTGCCAATTGCCATTCTCAGAATGGGTTTTCCATTAATGCACAAAAAAAAAAAAAAAAAAAAAAAAAAAACACAAGAGTTTAAACTGGCTGTTCACACTTTAAAACTCTTACCATTCCAAAGGGCCAGCAGATGGCAAGGTGCCTGGCTTTCCACATGGCCAACTTCTGGTTCAAGTCCCTCACCCAGTGGTTTGGAACAACACAACAAATACATAGATAGATAGATAGATAGATAGATAAAAAGTCATGGTGACTTTTTAAAGAAAAAACCCTCCTATCATTCTGAGATGCCATGGGAACATCTCTGTTTTGTGGATATACAATGACAATTTGCCAAAGATGAACATTTCTTTTGTGTAAATATTTGACTACTGGGCCAGGCTTACCTTTGTTCATCTATATTTTCAAGTCAATCCATATGATTTGTTTGTATTTTCTCGGTGCTCAGTGAAAATAAACTTAGTAAACTTTATAATAACATATTTCATTAGTTCTTTCTAGTAGGCCTTGGCTCAGGCTACTTCTTCCACCTAAAATGTCCATCTCACTCTAACCCTGCATGTCTAAATTATATCTACTCTTCTTGGTTTATTTCAGGGATACTGCTATATCTCCATTTAAATCATGTTTCTTTCCTCAGTGCTTTCAGCACCTCTCTAACCTTTTTCTTTTTTTCTTTCTTTCTTTTTTTTAATTTTTTTTTTTTGTGACAAATAGTTTACATTCTAAGTCCCTGAAAATGGTACCAAATCACACTAAACAACACCAACAACCACAACAACACAAAAAAAAAAAAACAAAAAAAAAACACAAGAGTTTAAACTGGCTGTTCACACTTTAAAACTCTTACCATTCCAAAGGGCCAGCAGATGGCAAGGTGCCTGGCTTTCCACATGGCCAACTTCTGGTTCAAGTCCCTCACCCAGTGGTTTGGAACAACACAACAAATACATAGATAGATAGATAGATAGATAGATAGATAAAAAGTCATGGTGACTTTTTAAAGAAAAAACCCTCCTATCATTCTGAGATGCCATGGGAACATCTCTGTTTTGTGGATATACAATGACAATTTGCCAAAGATAAACATTTCTTTTGTGTAAATATTTGACTACTGGGCCAGGCTTACCTTTGTTCATCTATATTTTCAAGTCAATCCATATGATTTGTTTGTATTTTCTCGGTGCTCAGTGAAAATAAACTTAGTAAACTTTATAATAACATATTTCATTAGTTCTTTCTAGTAGGCCTTGGCTCAGGCTACTTCTTCCACCTAAAATGTCCATCTCACTCTAACCCTGCATGTCTAAATTATATCTACTCTTCTTGGTTTATTTCAGGGATACTGCTATATCTCCATTTAAATCATGTTTCTTTCCTCAGTGCTTTCAGCACCTCTCTAACCTTTTTCTTTTTTTCTTTCTTTCTTTTTTTTTATTTTTTTTTTTGTGACAAATAGTTTACATTCTAAGTCCCTGAAAATGGTAGTGATTGTTTTTAGTAGACTGGATCCCTTTGGCTCTGTCAATATCCTTATTCTCCCCTGTCTGCCCTTGCCTGTTCTGTGGATTGATTTAGTTCAAACTACATATTCTCTACTGTGATTCTACTTTTATTTTCCTTTTAAAATATTCCAAGTTTTCATTTTTAATGTCAATGGGTTAAAAATAATATTTTACCCTAAAATTTCAGGATTTCTAACACAGAAGAAAATAATTTAAAATCGTCCCTTTAAAACTCTGCTCATAAACAAAGACGACTTTAAAAACTGAGAGTTAAATCTGAAAAACACTGGCAGTAGGCACATGGATGCTATCATATTAAAGGCCTTTGGAGGCAGGCTAGCATAGTTTACACGCCATTGGACCTATTTTTAGAGCTGATTCCTTTTTGCAATGTCAACTGTAACATTATACTTATTTTAAGCCTCGGTATCTCAAGTAGCAGCCTCTACTAGTTGTACAGTTCTCCCTTATTTGATACCAGAGAGCCCATGGAGCCTTCTGAAGTACCCAGTCAGATTAACAAAGATAATTTTTTAGAAGTTCCTAATTTATCTGAATCTCTTTGTGAAGATGAAGACGTTAAAGCTACCTTCAGACACAGTTACTCCCCTCAGCCGAGCAGACGAGGTTCTGATTCTTCAGAAGACATGTACCTGGATACGCCATCTTCAGGTGCAAGAAGAGTTTCATTTGCCGACGCCTTTGGATTCGATCTTGTATCTGTTAAAGAATTTGATTCCTGGGATTTACCGGGTGTTTCAACCAATTTTGACTTAAGGAAGGACATTTTCCACACAGAAGAATATGTTTTATCTCCACTATTTGTCTTGCCTTCTTCCAAAGAAGATCTTATGCGACAACTTCAAGAACAGAAAGCGATACTGGAATCAGCTGAGTATCTTCCTGGGTCTACAAGTATGAAGGGCATTATTCGAGTTTTAAATATTTCTTTTGAGAAATTAGTATATGTGAGAATGTCCTTAGATGACTGGCAGACACATTATGACATTTTAGCAGAATATGTTCCTAATTCATGTGATGGTGAAACTGACCAGTTCTCATTTAAGATTACATTGGTTCCTCCTTATCAAAAAGACGGCAGTAAAGTTGAATTTTGCATACGTTATGAAACTTCTGCTGGCACATTTTGGTCAAATAATAATGGCACAAATTATACATTGGTTTGTCAAAAGAAAGAACAAGAGCCGGAGCCTGTAAAACCACGGGAAGAAGTTCCTAATAGGCAAATAAGAGGCTGTTTAAAGGTAAAATCAAGGTGAGGCTATATCTTACATTCTTTACTATTGATAATATGAGAGTCTTACATTGTACTTCGTTATTTTACAAGTTGTTAGAAATAGCCCTCCTATTTAAAAATATACTGCTTGCTGGGTAAACAAAAACAAACAAACAAAATTGTGCAGGCTTTAATAAGGTCAATTGTTATTCACCTACTAGAACCGTATTTTTCTCTCTTCAAATGTGAGTGAAAATATGAATATAATTTAATAGATTGGTAAAGTGCCATGCATATTACTTATCTAATGAGATATAAATTGCTTATTCAAACATGAAACCTGGAGTCTTCACATATAAAATTTATTTGTTTTGACATTTGAAATATGTTTATTTTCAGTGGTTCTTAAATATCTGTGCTCTACTTTGAAACACTTTTGATTAACCTAAAAATACATTTCAGTATGTATCTAATGGTTAGAAATTTGTAGATTTCCCCTAAAAGCTGCAACAAACTTCTAGTGACTGAGTTGTATTGGGTTGTTGGAGGTAATAAAGGAGTTAAATCATAAGACAACTTTAATGATGAACTAACAGAAATACATAAGCTTATGGGTGTTGTATGAATTACATATACAATTATATATTTCTAACAAATGCAATATTATGAAACACAAATTAGTATAATTTAGGAAAAGTAAATGGAGCAGAATAGAAACTGACCCAAATAGAAATAAGGATAGTAACTATATAGATTGGAGATTTGGGATGTAACCCCTCATTAGTAACCCTGCTTTCCTATTAATGTAAAACAAAGTACGCTGACATTGGCTGATTTCTGTGATACTAGGTTAGTAGAGAACATATCCAAGAAGAGTTAGATCCCTTTTGCTCTTCACAGCATCCCCATGAAGAAAGTCCACTCCCACATTACTCCACCAACACAGGCACATATTTGATTATCCTCTAAGTGATTCAACCTAATCGTCCCTAAACCCAAAGATTTTAGTAATGACACCAGCATAGTGTAATATGATAAAAAAGGAACTACATTAGAAACAAAGACACCCAGATTCTAATTCTCTAAGTGTAACTCACCAAAAATCATAAGACACTGTGAAAATGTTAACTTCTTTATGCTTTAATGCACAAAGCAATAAATAATAATGACTAAGTGTGTTGTTCCAATGCATTAATATGTTCGATGTAGTATAGGTGGAAGCAACCTAAATATAGAAAATATTTCTATTTTAATTTTCTTTTAAAGTCATTCGAAAGATTGGGTTAATCCACTTTGTCAATTGTGTCGACTTTCTTCATCCAACTCAGACTCTCTCAGATTTTGATTGAGATGTTTATGAAATTACTCAGCAACAGATTAGCTACACAGATAAAATAAGCCCCAAACTATTTAGCAAACTGATTTCCATACATAAACAGACACACATTAAATAATTTATAAGTGATAGCATCACCAGTGAATACCTATTAAACATGCTGTAACTTGCTCCATATACCAGAGAAAACAGAATTTAGGAAGTTTAGTCTTTTGTCAAACAGCTCATAAAAGGAAGAGTGTTTAACTCAGTGGATTTTTCTATAGGTTTTAAGATGTAGCTTTAGTTACAAGCAGTACATGCTGTGTAATATGTTACACAGGTGATTCCTTTTATAGTCCAAATTTTACTTGATGTCAAGAACAAAGAATGAACAACTGATAGGCCTAATCTTCTACCTCAGCCATGATATTATAGGAACTCCTCCTAGTTGAAGATACACATAACTGTATATATTCTCACACACATTGGTATTCAGTATAGTAATCATTGAATGCATAGCGGACACCATTCAAGTTTTAATATTGCTTTGGGGAAAAACTTGAGAAGAACTAAACCACAAAATGGTCTAAAGGCCTGTAAAGTTTCCTAATGAGTTATAAAAATGGAAAAATCTCTTTCCTTCAAAACCACAAATACATTTTCTGCACTTCTATAACTTAAAAATGACCAACATAATTCAAACCACATTTTGAAAAAAGCATTTGCCTCTGGAGGAGGCTTTTTGTGCTGAGTTTCAGTCCAACATGAATTTTTACATCTGATTTATATACCACTCAAAATGGAGTGTATAAAGGAAATCCTGACAGATCCTTAGAACAGCATGTGCCATAATAGAATATTTATACAGCTTTTCCATGATATAATTTATATGCAATGGGGTTTCAAATATTCCTAAAACTCACACAAGAGAGCATTATCAAATTTCTAAATGAATATTGCAGTTGGATTTTATTGTGAAGAATTTAGTTAGAGAAAAAAATAGCACACCTTGTTAGTGTTATTTTACAAAATGTGTTCTTGGCTAAAATAAAAATGAACTAATACTTATTTGATCAAAAAATTATAACTTCCAAAATATCTTCTTCCCTCCAAATAGTTACAGAACCTAAATGGGTATTTTCTGAGCATACCCACACTTCATATGTAGCTAAATTTGTAAGTAATTTCTTTCAGAAGATGAAAACAAAGAGAAATGTATATGGATTTTTGTTTTATTCATGCAAGTAGGCTAATAACTGTGTATGTAATAAGTCAGTGTTAAAATGAAAATTAGGCAAGTCTAGTGTAGAAAGAAACATCTAACTTTAATTCTTCTTAATACCACAATTAATTTGCTATCAGCGTCCCTGAGATTGTATCTTCTGAAAAGTGTCAATAATCCCTTCTAATAAGTACAGAGGGAACTGTGGGAACACATTTGGTGAGATAGGATTTTTGTTATGTCAATCACCCACTCAAGCATGTTTCTCTATGGAGATTTTTCTCAGGTCAGAGTTTGTAAATTTCCACATTTGTGTAGGTTGTATATTTTATTTTGATGCTTGTTAGTCTATCCACCTTGGACAGAAAGAAATATCTAGAGGGAGAAGGAAGCAGAGTTTGTAACTCATAGGCATGTGACTAAGAGTGACCCAAAGGTATTTAATTGCATGCATCATAAGATTCTTGCTAAGTGTCACCACATATCCAGCACTGGGGTATGTTAGCAAACAAACTAAGCAGATTATGGTTTACCTCCCATGGGATTGATTTACAAATCAATGACCAGAAAGAAGACGTTGATAGAAATTACATTCAATATACATAGATAAACAAGCTAAAAAGGCACATAAAATAACCTCAAAGTTAAAATAATGGGCTTCAGAGTTCAATGTATGCGAGTTTGAGTCTAAGTCCCTACACATACTTTCTATGTAAATTTGGACAAATTAAGCTTGCTTTCCCTTTCTCTTAACTGGGGAAAATAATAGCTTTATCTCGTGGGTGTGGGTAAATGATGGCATAAGGTCTGGCACACATTAAGTTAATAAATGTAAACTGCTGTGAAAAAAACAGAAACAAAACAAAAACAGCAACAGCAAAAAAATAAGTTAATAAATGTAAACTGCTGTGAAAAAACAGAAACAAAACAACAGCAACAGCAAAAAACCAAAACAATGCTGGGCCATCTCTGTGCTCTAGTAGTTAAGGCTGCCAGATCCCACAAGGTTTGAGTCCAAGGCTCGACATCTTGAGAAACATGCCAAGTGAATGTTCATGTGTGTCCAAAATCCTAAAAGGACGGAGATGTGGAGAAACTGGTGCTGTGGCATGACCATTCCCCATGGGGAATGTTTTGCTCTCTGCCCTTATCACTGTCTCTCTTTCTCTAAAAAGTACACACCCCTCTCTCAAGAGTCTCCAAAGTCCCACTCCTCTTTCACTTTAGAGCTCCTTAACTTTCAACGTAGAAGAGCCATCCGTTTGTCTTTTGCAGTATTTTAATCAACAAGCAAAATTAATTAAGCTATAAATTTTCTTGACATATGTATCTTATATTTGGAACATCTTACTAACTTAAAGTCCCCACATTTTAATAGAGGAAGGCCTGGACTGGAAGCAGTAAAATGTATATTTAATTTTAGCATCATTTAGGCATGTATATTAATCCCATAAAATACGTGCTTGATAGCTATGCAGCTAGACATATTACGTTACTTCTGAATCAGTTGATTCACCTGTCAAATAGGGCTTCTAATGCCTAATATTGTGAACTAAAGCAAAGTGAGATTGTACCTTTAAAGTACTACCAGAGTGTTGGGCATGTATTATCATCAAAAGGGATCATAATTGCCATTAGTATTATCAAATCTTGTTCAGCTAATTTCCTGATTCTTAGACTTCCATTATTTTTTCTGACATCATGGGTTCCCTTGTCTAGGTTTCAAAACTCATTCATCAAGCATTTAGAAAGGGCTTATGTGTCAGATCCTATGTTGTTAGGTATTAGGATCCTCCTGAGAAACGTGTGACTGGAGACACAGGCACGTGATGACAAGGAGAGGCCCCAAGGGAAAGGACCTCACAGACACAGAAAGAGGAGTGAGAGAGAACACCAAAAACCAAAACCAGATTCTCTGGGGGTGTAATGGAAGCCACAATTTAAAAATGAAATAATCGGCTGGCTCTATGGCACAATGGTAATGTGCTGCGTGAGAGCAGCCAGATGCCACATGACAACCATGGTTCAAATCCCTGGCCCAGTCAGGCTCAAAGAGGCTGGACGTGCACAAATGTCTGACATCTGACTGGCTGGAGGACTGGAGGAAGGGGATTACAGCATGACCAGACACAGTGGAGGGTGCTCATCTCCCTTTCTCATCACTCTCTCTCTCTTGCGTATATGTTATATTGTAAACAAAGAAAAAAACAACAAAATAAGAATAATGTACATTTTCATTTTCAAGGATATGTGATTTATAACTGAAATTGTGTACTGACTAAAGTAGAGGGCTTCTCAGCAACTTGGAGATCTTTTTTGTTGTTGTTCTCCTCCACTGCTTGCTAACTGTTGACTTAATCTTATCTGGTTTTGTGTTTCATTAGGTAAAACACATTTATAATTTTAAGTGCAGAAATTGTGTGATAGAGGTGTTCGATGGTGTGTACTTATAACTTGACCAGCTGAATGGAAATAAAGTCCTAAATGACTTTAAAGTCA